CATAGACTCTGACCCCCCATAATTATTCCCATTTAAAAGCTGAAACTTTAGGAGAAACACTATTAGAACAGTTTGGAAATTACTCTTCATAACTTTAATTTGTCTTAATGCTTTTGTCATATTTCAGTTAGTATGATTGGCTTTTGGTCGTTTGGTTTGCAATGGCAAGGAAGGATTTTTTTCCCGGCCTCACATGCATGCATAATTTCAGTCTTATAATGCTTTGCTCCACTGTAAGGTTTGTTAAAATTTCTCATTCGATTTTTATATCTTGCTATTGTTTCTTCTCTCTCATTATTACCTTAGGCCTCCCATGTTTTGGGGTTATTCAAAAACAACTTAACTTTGAGATATCTAACGGAGTTCTAGGCTTCATTCATTGTTTGATAATGAAATTACACAGCAGGAGAAATCTAGCATGCATTAAACTGAAAGAGTGGCTTAATAGGCCAAGTCATATTCATAGCAAAATGGAGAGAAAATAGAACATTTGGCCTTCTACAACAATAAGATACCGGAGTGTCCGCTATAAAATAGACATCGGCTATTGGCCCAGATCATCAGATATTCGAGAGAAAAAATGAAAATAATTATCTGACCGGATATTTTGCGCTGCTTTGGTTAGATCCTTCGCTCTACGTTGTTCTCTTGCTTTGTGTAAATACAACATCTTTATTGAAAGAGGCTATAGCAAACAGCAATATAGGCAATTTACTCAAAATGTCAACCATGCACTGCCCTGATGTGTGCTGCGGCAGTACAGCTGCCTGATCCAATCCTGGTCGGAGTAATTGTTTGATAGTGATTTTTTACTATCAAACAATGACATCTATATTGTGGTTGTTCCACTTTTTTTTTTTGACTTGCCCCGGACAAGCCTTAAAATGTCGAGCCCTGCACAAGTGTGCATCTGGCACTGAAGGAGGCAGTGTCATGGTCCATTCGTAACCAAGTGGGAAGTGGGAATTTACCACATACGACTCAGAAAAATCCACTTGAACGGCCCTCCAACTGGTAATTACTAGTGGGAAACTCATCATCCTGAGCACCCACTTCTCCCACATGGTGACCTCTGACATCACTTACTAAGGAAATCGTTCTTTTTAAACTCTTTAATTTGCAAGCATGATAGCTGTACTTTTAGTTTATAGTTGACTCAGCTTGTTGGTGTTTCTCAACGAGTTCAAAAATCATATGAATGCATCACAAATGGTATTTACGACTTCACAACTGGTAAATTCCCACTTGGTTACAAATGCAGCATCAGAGTGGAACCCTAAGAGTCCCAACATAATAATCCTGTCACAACAGACAATGCCAGGAACATTGTGAATGCTGAACATTGTGAATGGCATTTCATTTTCCCGCTGTACTGAAACCTGACCCCAAAACCGCAATACGTTCCAAACTGTGGGTTTGGTGAACTGTTACAGCCCTAATCCACTAATGCCCTTTTATCCATTTTGCTTGTCTCTTGTGTTTACTAAATGTATCACAACATTTTCTTTGCAACTTGCAATAGATTTTGCTCATGATGAAAATAAATGGTTTGGTCATGCTCACAATTCAAGCCAGTCCTCCATGAAAGCAATTCAGTTTGTCCTTCTCTTAGCAACCTAATGCTTCAACCTGACTCTCCTTGAATAGTCCAACAAGAAGCAGCTGAGAGGGCTATCCCTATAGTGCAATCCTCATTTGAAACCCAAAAATGGGATGGAGAATTGGGCTAGTGACTAAAATGTTGTGACAACCCTAATAAAATAATACAATTATAAACCATTGCATGGCAGTCATGTTTTTCAATAAAAAAAATGTTTAACATCTCCATATGTTTTGTGATTAGTGACACTTACCAAAAAAAAACAACCCAATACAAAACACTATACTGTGTATGTTTGGGACTTTTCCCATTGAAAACCCTTAGAGATAACATTGAAACCATTAGAACGGCTGGAGCCTAATAGTTTGCTTGTTCACCAAACACACACAGGGGTGGTTTTCTGGACACAGATTAAGCCTAAGAGAAGGACAAACTGAACTTCTTTCATGGAGGACTGGCTTGAATTGTGAGGATGTTTACAACGTATTTTCACCATGAGCAAAAGCTATTGGTTTTCTACCCAAAGTTGCAAAGAAAATATTGTGATACATTTGATAAACACGAGAGACCAGCAAAATGTATAAAATGGCAGTAGCAGGATTTCTCTAAACAGGAAATAAAACTAAATAAAATAATAATTCACTGAGAATACATTACATAGCATGAATAAACAATACTCCAAGTCGCAGCTGCATAAAACATCTCAGAGAGAACTGATACTGTGTATTTACCAATTGGGGTGGGTAGGTGTCGTTTACAAGTTATTTGGATTCCTCACATCTTAATCATTGCTAAGCGGTTTTCGTGCAAATCGGATGTTGGGTACTATATTTATTTTATTTTATATGAATCCTATATTGAAATAGCAGATTTGGGTGAAATCAATTAGCTTAATTTCTCAGAGCAAATTATATTTCAACAAAATTATGTTGCAGAAATGCTTTCTTATGTTTCTAACTACAGAAACAATTTCAGAACAATCTGCGATGGTGAGTGTCTGTCACGATCGCCAATAAAGTAGGACCAAAGCGCAGCGTTGGGAGTGAACATGATGACTTTAATGTGAAATAACGACAAAACAAAACACGATCCGTAACGTCCTCAGTACACCGACTGAACATAGAACAAAAACCCACAACTAACACAAGAAAACCTACATCTTAAATATGGCTCCCAATCAGAGATAACGAGCCGACAGCTGACACTCGTTACCTCCGATTGGGAGTCATTGAATACAAACAAGGAAACACAACCACAACCTAGAAATAGACACAACAGAACTCCCCACCTAGAAATAAACGTGCCAGACATGCAACCATAAAACATCACCCAAAACCCAACAAAACAACATACACCCTGGCTCAAATACACAAGTCCTGGAGCCAGAGTGTGACAGTACCCCCCCCTAAAGGTGCGAACTCCGGGCGCACCAGCATACAGTCTAGGGGAGGGTCTGGGTGGGCGTCTGTCCACGGTGGTGGTTCTGCCCCTGGTCGTGGTCCCCATCCCACCTTAGTCACCACCCGCTTCCCTAGCCTCCTCCACATTACCACCCCCCAACTACACCCCACTGGGTTAAGGGGCGGCACCGGACTAAGGGGCAGCACCGGACTACGGGGAAGTACCGGACTAAGGGGCAGTACCGGACTAAGGGGCAGTACCAGGCTGAATGGCGGATACTGGCTGGACGGCTCTGGTGGCTCCTGGCTGGTCGGCTCTGGCGGATCCCGGCTGGACGGCTCTGGCGGATCCCGGCTGGACGGCTCTGGCGGATCCCGGCTGGACGGCTCTGGCGGATCCCGGCTGGACGGCTCTGGCGGATCCCGGCTGGACGGCTCTGGCGGATCCTGGCTGGACGGCTCTGGCGGATCCTGGCTGGACGGCTCTGGCGGATCCTGGCTGGACGGCTCATGGCTGGCTGATGGATCTGGCTGCTCATGGCTGGCTGACGGATCTGGCTGCTCATGGCTGGCTGACGGATCTGGCTGCTCATGGCTGGCTGACGGATCTGGCTGCTCATGGCTGGCTGACGGATCTGGCTGCTCATGGCTGGCTGACGGATCTGGCTGCTCATGGCTGGCTGACGGATCTGGCTGCTCATGGCCGGCTGACGGATCTGGCTGCTCATGGCTGGACGGCTCTGGCGGATCCTGGCTGGCGGAAGGCTCTGGCTGATCCTGTCTGGCAGAAGGCTCTGGCTGATCCTGTCTGGCGGAAGGCTCTGGCTGATCCCGTCTGGCGGAAGGCTCTGGCTGATCCCGTCTGGCGGAAGGCTCTGGCTGATCCTGTCTGGCGGACGGCTCTGGCTGGACAGGGCTGACGACGCACCCCGTAGGCTCGGGGCGTTGAGCAGGGACAGGCAGAACCGCACTGGGGACACACACCCCTGGCCCTACACGGGGATCAGGAACGGGCCGGACCGGACTGGAAACACCCCCCAGTACCTCTCGCCGTGCCTCCACACTTTCCATCCCCTTCGTAACCAGTGGCCCCCTTAAACTGGCGGCCATATCTGCCAACCTCTTGCACTCCTCCGGGCCGTACACCTTCTGCCCCGACGTCGTGAGCCCCCCCCTAAAAATTTTCTGGGGATCTCTCCTCTCGGTGGACCAGGCCTCCATAGTCCTCTCCCAACCTTCGCTCTTCTGGCTCCACCACCCGTTATCCAACTGCTGCTTGGTCTCGTTGTGGTGGGTTTTTCTGTCACGATCGCCAATAAAGTAGGACCAAAGCGCAGCGTTGGGAGTGAACATGATGACTTTAATGTGAAATAACGACAAAACAAAACACGATCCGTAACGTCCTCAGTACACCGACTGAACATAGAACAAAAACCCACAACTAACACAAGAAAACCTACATCTTAAATATGGCTCCCAATCAGAGATAACGAGCCGACAGCTGACACTCGTTACCTCCGATTGGGAGTCATTGAATACAAACAAGGAAACACAACCACAACCTAGAAATAGACACAACAGAACTCCCCACCATGCAACCAAAAACATCACCCAAACCCAACAAAACACATTTCTCAAATGTGCCAGAGTGTGACAGTGTCGAAATCCTCTTTCTTGTGCTTTGAGGTGGAACGACCCCATAATGTACCTGATTAAGCTGCACATAATGATACAGTGACTCCAGATAAGGTGCATAAAACAAACATGATTGAATTGTGATTAAACTGGTCAGATTCTGTTACAGTACTTAGTAGTGTAGTCACATTTAATTCAAAAAAAATTTTTATTCCATGTGACATGGTATCTGTGCAAGTGTTTTCCAAAAATACCCAAGTCTATTTTTCAATCAACACAGCACAAGTTGGCATTGACAGTACAGTAGGGGAAGGACAGTGGTACACCACAGATTCAGTCTCTGAGGACTACCTTGATGCATGACATCAACTTACATGTCTGTACATCCTCAGACACTCCGCCGGGTTGGCCTTGCCGTGCCAGCAGGCGCTGTTGGTGAATATGATGAACATGTCCACAGCGATTCCCTTCTCCGAAGCCCACAGGATGGGGAGAGCATAGTCTGTGTAGCCACTGGGGAGCTGTGAACAGATCGATGACACAGCGGTCAGCCATGACCCACAGTCCATGTTCAGTAGGGCTTGGCAGCAAAACGTTTGAAAACAGAACACAGAAATTAGCTTTTCTTATTGGACCAAGTCCAATAAGTTCCTCCCCGTTTCAGTCCATTTTCTTCAGTTTGGTTCCCTTATGGACATTACCCTGGTTTCAGACAGTGTGACTAGTGATTTTGGCAAGCAAGCATTCAGCAAGCAAGTTTTTGTCATTAAAACAATGTGTGTTTCGAGATGCACATTTTGCAGTGTGACACTTAATGTCCGTACCTTGACCAGCTCAGCTGTTACTTCACGAAGAGACATGTCGCCAGAGATAGTGCAAGGAACTATAGCTCCCTCCGAGTAGGCCAGAACCTGCGTCTCTGCCTCTGTCCGCACAATAACCTGTAACAGACACAACCAACTTGGTACATAATGTTAAAATAGTCTCTCTCTAAAATGCCTGGAATTATCATAACAATTTTAAATGACATGTTCTCATAACAGAGCATGCCTTGAATGCCTGTGCCCTCTTGAGATGGTGGCATGTGGGGGGGGAGATGTGGCAGGAACCCATGGAATCTCTCAAAAAGACCATTTCCTTGACCCTAGCTTCCTCCAGAGACCGTCTAGCCTTCCCACGTTTATAGATGCAGCTTAGAAACACAGCTGTGACAACTAGTCATTAACCCGTGCTTATGAGTGCAGCACATAGTTAAAAAGAGAGCCCCCCCCCCCCCCCCCATCTTTGCCATTATCGCTTCTGTGTCAAGTGCAGCCTCTATCCATCTCTATGGTGCATATTGAGTGCAGGATTGTAGTGTTGACTTACCATGGCCAACGCTGCAGCCGTGACAGCTGTGCTGACTGAGGTCCCCTGAACAATGCTGCTCAGAGACGTGCTAATGTCCACCACCACCGCAAAGTGCTTTCCCGCCGGCTCCACGTTCTGAGGAAACAGACACGAGTGAACATTTTGCATTTGTGAACACTACTCAGAACAATGGGAGGCATGCTCTGTGAGTATTAGCGGATGAGAAGCTCGACCTACCATGAAACATTGGTAGAAAGCACAGTCCAGCCTTGGCCCCATTGTAGTTTTCCGATGCCGTCAAGATGCTGAAGGGGTTGAGTTTAGCCTACAATGACAATACAACTGTTAGATAGATCCCTGAGAAAGCAGCAAGTGAATGAATCCCAGTTCTTCGAGAGTGAGAGACAGCAGGTAGGTACGCCTCACCTTCTTTAAAGCCGCCTCACTTTGGATCCTCTTGCAAACCGCTGCCACGTCTGAGCTTCCTGGTTTGAGGACTTGGTCTGCTGTCATCTTACCCAGGGTTCTTAGCACTGATTTAATCTCTTTTAACAAAGCTTTCCATACCTACAGAGGAGAAAAGGCATCATACAATCAGAAGACCAAAAAACAACCCCCAATCTTATCCACAAAAGTAATGAAGATATCTTCAAACCCTAATATGAAAAAGTGATAGTTCTATGATGCTGAAATGATATGGTGCTTGTCTTTCCCATTCATATGGGATTGAGCGATACAGCTGGATCTAAAAAAAACCTAGAGGGGGACGAGAACCTCTCAACATTTGACCAACTTTGATTTGGAGCGAATTACCCCTTTTAAGAGTTGGTTAAATATATAAGTTGGTTGGTGCACACTGCTCACCTCTTTGGACTTCAGGTGGTCTGTCAGTAGTTGTTCCCGCTCTAGCCTGTGCTCCTCTATCAGATGGGTGACCTCTATTTCGTCAGCACTGTGTTTGACCTTCTCACCCGCTTCCAGGTAAGAGAGGACTTTGACCACCTCAGAGTTTTCCTTGTCGCCGTATGCCACCTGGACCTCTTTCCATCCTTTCATAGCGTATTTACTGATCAACGTGATTTTCGGTAAACTTTCCAAATGTCGACAAAACAAAATAAGCTAGGAAAGGTGGGATCTTTTTGTGTCTGTAAAATATATCATGTGAGAAAGGTCAGTGGAAATGCTTTAATGCGCAAATATTGATATAATAACCATCATATCGAAGTAAACGTCGAGTCACGCGATGATGTGTGGTCCTCCCACTACAAGTCGGGAAAGCATGCCGTTTATTATGCTCTTTTGTCCATAATAACCTCATCATGTAGACTATACATGCGCTCTAACCAACAGCGAGCAGATACAGTACTGTATCTGCGCACTGTTGGCTACTGTATAAAGCTAAACAATTTTGTGAGAGAACCATCAGTAGAGTTGAAAATGCGATGGAAACCCATTTAACTTGTATTTTATATTTGGTACATGGGAATTTAACCTCAAAAGGTATGTTTATGTACACTAGGTCATCACGCACAGCCTTTGATCTGCAACAAGTCAATTTTGATGGAAACATCTCTGGTGGGAAAATGCTCATATATTGTTTTAATGCAGATTGTAGAATATTCACATGTAAATCTGTCGCCAGTTGGATGGAAACCTAGCTACTAAGATCACATTTTCTTACTGATTTCATCCATTTGAGGATATCCATGTACTCTTCCACATGTAAATGCTCTTCACCTGTGAATGTTTCATGCCTAGCTTTAAGTGTGCCTGTTGTGTTATACTTCTGAAATGTGTGGGTCAAGTCCTGATACACCAATCATTGTTATCTTGGAGTTCCTTTTTTAAATCAATACAAATAATATTCTCCGCAGTTCGTTATGTGTTGGACCCCTGTAAGACTAGCTGTCGCCATTGGCGTCGGCTAATGGGGATCCTAATAAAACTGAATTCTAAAGTTTAACAGTTAAATCTTACACCATTTACTGTCCCTTGTTGATCCATAATAGTGTTTACAGTGTGTACATTGTATATCTCTGGCAGCTCACCTTCGTTAGCAGGCTTAGTGTGGGAGAGTCTGAGCAGATCCTGGTGCGACCAGCCCCCTCTTGTTCTATATTTAGTCACTGCCAGAGCCAGGCTCATGGCGTCCTGTTCATTGTACCAATTAGACACCGCTTTCCTCAGGGCCCGTCCCCATATCCCGCACTGCATACCCTCCTTCACCTCCTTCTTGTACTGAACGAAGGTGAAGAGGTGCTCGGAATCCCGGCACACATCCCTCAAGGCTTGGAACACCCTCTGCCTGGTCTTCAGTTCAGAGTGCTGGGAGCACACATCCAGGATAAACAGGGAAGGGTTGGCCAGCCTCTTGACCTCCTCCACCACCTCGCAGCCCCTGCCCTCCTGAAGCAGGGAGCGCAGCGCCAGGGCACTCTCCATGCCCAGGCGGTGCTCCTTGGTGTCATACATGGCCATTTCAGAACCGTAGCAGAGGAAGCGGCAGAGCCTGGTGACGGCTGTTACCTCCCACGGGTGCTCACCATTGCAAACTGAGTTTTGGGCGTGGTCGTTGGCACCCAGTCCCGATGGCTCCATTGTGAAAGCTCCTCTAAGACTGAGATAGAAGGTAACGTGGAGAGAGATGTTTCAGCTGAAAGATACATTTTCTTATTTTTTAAATAGACAATTGCACTGGTAGCTAGGGTGTTTAGTAAACCATAAAGACAACGTTCTGGTTCTAACTACAGTAAGCACGCCATTTAATTTAATTGCAAAAGCCTATTACCTAGCTAGCTTTACACTTACAGTGTAGCCCTTGTATAGCTAGCTAGCTAACAACATTCATACCACTGTCAAAAATTGAAACTAGTCTCCTTAAATGGGTAGCTAGCTTGACAGAAAGACTCAATCCGATTACGCATGACAGCCATAAAGTAGGCAGACAACAACCATATGCTATTCACATCAGTTCCTTAATTTTGTTACGTCAGCTACATTGGAGGTTGGTGGCACCTTAATCGGGCACGTGGTAATGGCTGGAGCAGAATAAGTGGAACGGTATCAACAACAAACACATGGTTTCCACGTGTTTGATGCCATTCCATTAGCTCCAGCCATTATTATAAGCCGTCCTCCCCTCAGCAGCCTCCATTGCGCTAGCAAGTTGGCTAACGTAGTCAGCTAGCTGGGTAGCTAATGTTACTTTAGCTAACAATCATCGCACAAACTATCTGGCTGGCCACTGGCTAGCTAGTGATGTAGTTCTGGTCCAGGCGCATCAGATAGGCATTGAAGCGTACCCATGTCATGGACCAAAGCCAGCCGCCTCCAGTAGTTGATCTAGAAGTGTTGGAGAGACTACAGGAAGATAGGGAGGGTGTTGATCCATCTGATTTCTTTAAGAAACGTCTGGAAACTGTGAATCAGGATTTTGTGGCTATTTACACAGATGGTTCAAAAGATCCAAGGACAGGACGTACTGGGTCAGCATTTGTAGTGCAGGAATGTGGGGTGGAAGTCAGGAAACGTATTACAGATCATCTGGCTGTATATACGGCGGAGCTGATGGCCATACTGTTGGCCTTGCAGTGGGTGGAGGAAGTCAAACAAGACAGAGTAGTTATTTGCTCTGATTCATGTGCAGTGTTAATGAGCCTCCAGTCCTTTAGCTCACGTAGCAGACAAGACCTGCTTTATGAGATGCTACAAACCCATGGCAGGATTAAACAGATGGGTATTCAGATAAGATTTACTTGGGTCCCAGCCCAAGTGGGGGTGGAGGGGAACGAGGCAGTAGATGAACAGGCTAAACAAGCACTTAGAAGTGGGGAAGTTGATGTTGAAGTTTCAATGAGCAAGGCAGAGGCAAAAATACTGATATATACAGTGATGGTGCAGAGATGGCAGGAGCAGTGGAATAGAGATAATAAGGGAAGGCATTTATTTCAAGTACAGAGGAATGTCGGGGAGGGGAGGATGGCAGGAAGGGACAGAAGAGAGGAGGCTATTTTTACAAGATTAAGGGTGGGACAGCCAGTTGAATAAGACATTAAATGTGATAGGAACGCATCCAACAGGAAAGTGTGATTATTGTCAGGAAACAGAGACCGTGGAGCATGTATTGCTACAGTGTGGGCAGTATCAGAGGGAAAGAGAGAGGATGAGATCTAGTATGAGGGCGAAGGGGATACAGGAAATGTGTTTAAAGAGTATATTGAGTGGAATGTCATTAGATATAGTCTCAAATATTTTGTTTATTTTTTAAGAGCAACGGGGCTGGCATGTAGGATTTCGTTTCTCCATAACGTTGGATACCAACCGCCAATAAACCCCACTGAAGAAGAAGACCAAAGCCAGTCTGGCGGTAAACAAAGTGCTCAATAACGTTTACCGGCATTTCGCATTTTGGGGAAACGAAAGCGTGCGCATACAGAGAAAAGTTTGTCAGCACTCCAATAACATTGTTACTTTTGTGGGTAACGAAAGTAAATTGATGCAATTCACTAAACAAAGTCGGTGTAAAGAGAAAGCTCAAGCCCACGTAACAACCTGGACCAGTGATGTTGCGGCTGTGCTGATAGCTAACTAGCTAGCCAGCCACTGCTTGCACAAAACTATGTCCTAGAGATACGGAAATGACCACTCAAAACCCGCCCACAAGGCCTGAAATGAGCCCATTTTATTTCCAGCAGCAAGAGAGGAGTTCGCACATTTTTCTAATAGGTGTCTCCAAAATGATAATCTAAATACTTATGGTCAAATTGCTTCTCTGCATTTCTCCCTTTGTTATTGGTTCATCACACAGTATGAAAATGTATGCACTCACTAACTGTAAATCGCTCTGGATAAGAGCGTCTGCTAAATGACTAAAATGTAAAAATGTAAATAACACCAAATTATTTAATCTGAACTATATAAGTGATTGATAGTGAATGGTTAAGAGGTATGTTATTTTCAGAAAACTTTCTTGTGAAATGGTGTTAACACAATGTTAAATATTGTGAAATATTATTAATACAAGTCACATTGCTATAAAATAAACGTATTCCTTTAAACTAGAGTATAAACATCTAAAAGCCCCTACAGTTTGCTTTTTGGATTATTTTATTTAATAATAAATGTCAATTAATGTGTAGAGATAAGTACTCACCAAAACAGTAGTGCTGGTTTGATAGTAGCCCTCCATCTAGGATGAGGTGATCCCCATACAAGTTGGTGCTGCTGCTGCCATTCCACATATGTTGCTCTACATAGAGTAGAGGAACAGACAGAGATATAATGAGGGATGAGTTAGAGAAACAGGGGGAATGAGACTTTACAGACAGATGACTGAAGGAAGTACGTGTGTGTGTGTTCTGCTCACCCCCAAAGTGCTGGGTTAGGCCAACCAGGAGCCCCACTACCAGGTTGAAGCCATTTCTTGGACTTTAGGGGACACTCAGCAACAGGGTTCCAGCCAGTGAGGGCCCAAAGGAGGTGCATGCTGGTGATCCCCATACAAGCTGGTGCTGCTGCCATTCCCCATCACCACATAACAGAGACAGAGAGTAGAGGAACAGACAGAGATATAATGAGGGATGAGTTAGAGAAACAGGGGGAATGAGACTTTACAGACAGATGACTGAAAGAAGTGTCTGTGTGTGTAGACTCAAAAATAACGCTTGTAAAAGTTACTCACCCTGATTTTTTTCTTGTGTTTTTCAATGGGCAATTTATTGTCATCAAGAAACTTGAACAAAGCATTGGCAATGGTCAGTGAATTACGAGCTGGAATGTTGATTATTAAATGTGATTTGACAGAGTTTCTTGCTGTGCTATCTTATCACCACACACAGTTGCTTCTTGGTTGTGACATCAGTACTTTCATCAATAATCAATGAGTAAGACTCATTCCCAATGTCCTTTATTAGTTCCTCATGCACTGCAGGCCCTATAACTGCATTGATGAGCACTGTGCATTTTGTTCTGTGGATATTATTGAAGATAATGTCTTCAACAACACATCCCAGGTGATCTACAGTTGCAATGCTGGAGTGGCATGCAATATGTGCAGCCATCTGTAACTGATCGTTTAACTGTGTTATTATCTCTTACAAATGTAGTTCTGTGTCAAACAATGTTCTTGCATTAGAAAATGGAGCAGCATTTCTCTTGTGTTTCTCCGTTTGTTCATGAGAAATAAGATCGGCGTGGTGGGCTCGCATTTCTACAGTAAGCTTTTCTGTCATCTCCTGTGATGCTCTTAATCCATTACACTATACCCCGCTCTCTTTCCCAGTCTTTGCAATATTTTGCCCATTTACCTGGCATTCTGAAATCAAATTGTATTTGTCACATGTGCCGAATACACATGTACTGTGAAATGCTTACTTACAAGCCCTTAACCAACAATGCAGTTCAAGAAATAGAGTTAAGAAAATATTTACTAAATAAACTAAAGTAAAAAAATAAAAAATAAGTAACACAATAAAATAACAACAATGAGGCTATATACAGGGGGTACTGGTACGAGTCAATGTGCGGGGGTACAGGTTAGTCAAGGTAATTTGTACATAGGTGTAGGTAGGGGTAAAGTGACTATGCATTTGTAACGGTGTAATTAAGTTGTTAAATTCCTCCATAAAATGGGTATTATGCCACCTCCTGGTAGATTAGTGTGTTTACATTGTCTGATACACAGTGATAAAGGTATGGGATTCTGGGTAATCCACAGCAGATTTATGGACAATTGCTGTGGGTGAGTTGAAAATTGAATGGTCCCAGGATAGAAATGTATAAAGTTGACATTACACCATAAAATCCACCTTTTACATCGTACATTAGCAATTTATGTTATTAGTAACCACCATTATTGGTTTGGCCTCAAATAAGCCACTTTTTATATGTTATTTGTAGTATCTCAGTTTTCCATGTGGGTTTTATGCTAGCTAATGTTCCCTCTGAAGTTGGTAGCTAACTCGAGAATGCATCTTCTTTAGGAATGCTATTTATATCCCCTCGACTACTGATCATTCATCCATACTGTGTGTGTCCCATCATTGCAGGTAATTTATGACAAATGTATAGTACAAGTATATGTTTTATAAACTCATGAGCACCAGCCAGTGAATTAGCCTGGTTTTATTAGTTTAGGAAAATATGTGGTACATTCTAGGTGTATTATATTTCTTTGCCACAAGAGTGTGACATTGAGTAATTTTTCAGGGTAATTTGATATATTTTGAATACTAAAGTGGATAATAGTTTATTCTGATGTTGTAAATATGAGATTGTTTCCATGTGCAATGTATTTATTTGTATTATAGTAAATTAGGAATGATTAGAAATGGTTAAATCCACTATAAGATCACAATGTTTTTGATAGACATTTCGATTGTTTTTTTGTTAGTATATTATACAGCAGATTTATGGAGAATTGCTGAGGGAGTGCTATTAACAACCCATCGACTACTGATCATTCATCCATACTGTGTGTGTCCCATCATTGCAGCTTTGGAAATAAATGAACTATCCATCCATTGCTCCTTCCTGTGTTGACTCATGGACTTGAGGGACGGATCATCATGCCGTGACCCGGATCATCAATCAAGATTGGT